TATATATATATATATATATATAGTTCATTGTATACTTTATTTTATCAATATTTATCATTTCTTTACATTTTACTCAGTAGTTATTAATTTATTATTTGTTATATTCAGACTGAAAGAAAATTGTGTTTACTCCCAGATAATTTATAAAAATTTCTGACTTATATTACTTATATAGCATTTTTTCCGATGAAACGTCTATAAAGTTGAATTCTATGGATTAAAAAAGAGATTAACAAGAGAAAAAGAATTTCATATTTTTACCTTCATTATTATTCAAACATGCAATAGTTGACTGACTTATAATACTTTACACAGATCGACCGGGACTGAAATGCCTGGGAGACATCAATAGGCTGTCGCAGGCGGTGATCAGAGCGTTAAGGTCAGAACTAGATCGGAACCATGTGACGCCGATTAAGGGCGATGTGACCGTATGCGACGCAATTCTCGCGAAGATACCGCAGCTACGGGAGATCTCACTGCTGCACATGGACGCGCTGGCGAAGTTCAAGCGGTCGCAACCGCACCTCGAGTTCCCGGCCCTCCACAAGGAGCTCTTCAGTGTCGATAGCTGAACGAGCGACACGGCGCGGAACGTCGTCCCGGCGCTGCCGAGCAGACAGGAGCGCGAATAGCGTCTCAGACCTTGCTCGGTCAAGGTGAGTCCGACCGTCCCGGAAGAGAGATACTCGACGATCTCATGGCCCGGGGAACCGGAAGTGGCGACGCTTTCTAGGAAGAATCCGCGAGCCGGCTCGGATGAGAACGATCTCGATGATGAAAGACGAGGTAACATGAGTGTCAACAAATCGATCGATCGTGTCGACGGTCCGTTTCGTCGCGAAATGAAAAAGGTTATTGCTTGTATCGAGAACAAAGGGACAGAAGCAATGCGAATTATGGCAATCGTTTACATTACATTAGCTTCGAGTCTGCGGATCGGAGATTCGTGCTTTTAACTCTATTAAGACAACTATTTTTAAGACGATTTATTAAGCACAGGTACTCGGAGAAGTGAGGAACGATGTCAGAATGCTTATCCGGATTCCGCGATTTAAGTTGTAATCACCTCTTACATCTAGCATTAAATGTGGTTTTATAGTTCTCAACTAATGAATATAATGAATGCGATTCTTGTATTAAATAAATAAATAAATAGCATTTAAATATCAGTATATCAAATGAGAAAATGCAACTATAGTTTTTAGAATGATTAAATTAGAAATTTCTTTAAAATAATTTTAAATTATTTCACTTTATTTCGTTCGATGAAATACATAAAAGTGATAAATTTAACGCACAAAATAAAAATTTTAATAATTTTAAAACTAATGATTAGAAATATAAAATTGATATTGATAATTATAAATTACTGTTATGAAGATTTTTTAAATATATGAAACTATAAAAATATGTTTTAAAATCTAAATGAAGATTTACGAATGTATTCCCGGTAAAAAATTTTTCATGTTATTGTAAATAAAGAATATATGTATACCTATATAGGTGTGTGTGTGTGTGTGTGTGTGTGTGTGTGTGTGGGTGTGGGTGGGTGTGTGTGTGTGTGTGTGTGTGTGTGTGTGTATGTGTGTGTATATTCATGCATGAACAATTTTTTATCGAGTTCTTTTATATGTTATATGTTTTACATATGTGAGATAAAATTATTTTTAATAATCAGTGATAATAGTCGCATAAATTTTGTTGATTTTAAAGCTGGTTCTCTCGTGGCGTCATATTAGTTGTATAACATTAGATAATTGTTATGTACATATACAGCGTTATTTCTTAATAGTCTCTTAAAAACAAAACTATTTCGTAATCCTGTAAAATATGTTAATATACAAACAAAATAATTTCTGAAATAACGCAGCGATTTTTGACAGCTGAGAAATGTGCTACTTTAGGAATTATGTATTAATTTAGAAATTATTTTACACTTCTACGTGACGTATCTCAGTTAGGATAGATGTCTCAGTTTATTGTCTATTTTGCAGACTTCAGGATTACGAAATTATTATGCTTTTAAGGGTAAATTATGAATTAAAACTGTACATAATAAGTAATCTGTCGTCACATAATCAATAGCGCCTTGAGGTAACCTTAAGCAAATAATTTTTCAGTTTGCGTGATATTAAAAAGAATATGTCTTTTATTTTATCAAAATTAAGTTTAAATAAAATCGTTAAAATACAAGCGGGCTTGTACTTGAAAAATTATGATATAATCACTGAAAAAGATAAATAAAATTTCTAAATATTATTTCAAGATGATCAACAATGAGATGCACAATATAGAAGAACTGTTTATAGTTTCTGTATCTATTTCATGTTATATTTATTTAATTATGTAAAATTATGCTGCAGATTAAGAGATATAAAATAAATAAAAATACATTTTACACACATTTTACACACTACGATTTGTTAAAATTTTTTTATTTTATTACGAATTAATATTGCATATAAGGGATAAGAAACATACAAAAGAATCTAAATACTTTTTTTGTTAAAAATTAGCATTTCTAATTTTTTCAAATTGATGTGTAATACGCGCGTAAAATATTTATTCTTAATACATTGTCATATACACACAAAGGTACACGAAAAGGTTAAATTTTAAGCTATCAATATACTTTTTCATTGCATAAATAAAAATTGCTTGATATCGTTTCTTTTACATAATCGCTTGTCCGAGTATCAACATGTTGAATATTCGGGAGCCTTATATCGTTATATTGTATATAAGATTTTTCTTATTGTTTAAATTGCAAAGAAGAGAAAAAGAATCTTTATAACATAACAAATGTAAATGAACTCCCGATTGTATGAATTTTTTAATAATATTTTAACTCGTCAAATGGATATGACATAATAAATAATAATACGTAATATGCATGGTTTAACCCTTTAATTGCGGTAAATTGTATTTGTTTAATATTTTATTGTATTTGTGTAAAAGATATAAAAAATTCTTGGTTAAATTTATCGTATTTGTGAACTCATATGTTGTGAAAAATTTTGATCAGTTATAATAATAATAAAACTTGATTAGTTATAAATGTTATTTGTACAATACAAGTTATAATTTATATGTACAATACAAGATTATAATTTATATCTGTTATAGTTTATCATAATTAATAACTTAATTATTGCTTGTGGCGTAATGAATCGAAAACCGTAAATAAGAACTCAATACTGCCGTTAAAAGGGTTTAAACTGATGATTTAGAAAATCATAATTTGTAAATATGCTTATACGGTTACCAACAATCTGATTCAAAAGCAGATTGATTCTATTTCTCCTTCTGAAACGTCCTTAAATCTTTGATTCTCTAAAAAGTGATAAAAATGATTTATCAGTTAATTGACTTTCATAGTTTATAGTATATCAATTTTCTTTAAATCAAATATCTTTTACAAATGTTAGATCTTAAACAATATTGGACGTCCTGAATGAGAAATCAAAGTATAATAACAACGGATAAATATGATTGTAGTTGAATCAGAATTTAATAGAAGAACTTTACAAAATCAATTCAATCAATTAATTTTTTATTAACTTTATATCAATCTACTGCATCAATCTCTTTTAAATGTTAAAAAAATATTATATTATTTGTGAACTTTCTCGAAAATATAAATTTTTAATTTGGATCTGATTCATTCTTCACAATCTCTTTCATCCGATTGCTCTAAATCAGGTGGCTCGAATTTCAACCGATCAGTCTACCGGATAACATCCTATTAACCGTAATATATACTAATTTATTTGTTAATAAACGTTAGATTTTGCCTCAATTTTAATTACTATGTTAAACCTATACGTCTATATGTATTTTAAGATGTTTGTTGTTTATAATGACGAAGTATTAACGTGTTCGAATTCGAAAATTGTGAATAATTCGTAAGCATGCGTAACTATAAGAGGTACGCAGGATAAGTTTGTTTTAATGTCGATGAAAGTGTGGACGTTTCATAATCAATGATTAGATTTCAAGCTGCAGGATGTTCCAAAGAAGTATATATCGATAACAAGATTTTTTATCTTATCATTAAAATTTTTTTCTGCAAAACTTAATTACGATTTTTAATTTATAGTTTTAATGTCAAGTCCATTTTCTGTTAAAATTAATTTTTATAAAATTTATAAATGAACAAAATAGTTTGCATTTAATTTTAAATATTTTAAGAAAAATGTAATTAAATATAATTCTTTGCGATTGTGATATCTTTTTGGGACGTTTTGTATTTTTTGCTTGCATAATAAAATTATGTTAAATTATCTTATTTGTTATGCCAATTATAGAAAATGATATTATCGTACAAATTAGTCTTAATCAAACTGAATGTCCGGTAGGCTTTTAAATGTATGTCACGATGGACCGTCTTAGATAAAAGTATCGAATGATGCCTCTCTTGAAAGACAACCCAATTGGTTGCCTCACTCTGATGATTCTTCCTAGGAAACGTCAAGCTAAACACGCTTAAGGTAAATCTAGGAAAGTAATACGCGAAGAATCACGAAGAAGAAAACACATCGAGATTGGAACGCTGGTACATGGCCTCGCTAATCGTTGACAGATACTTTGAGAATTTTATTGCAAATAGAAGAACTTTGTTATCTAATTTTTAAATTAGAGAATTTTTCTATTTAATAAAATGAGGAAAATTAGAAAATTTATTGCGCGAATAATAACAAGTTTAGAGCATACATACTTTCGAATGTAAATTTTAAGGTGATGAAAAATAAAACATATATGCGGTTCTCTTTATCGTTAAAAGAAATACGCATTTATATAAACGTTTACAATGAATTTTTAAGTTTTGACATTAAATATGATGATATTGTATCTTTCACAGTTAAAAGAAGTGCATAATAAATAATAAGTATAGCTTGTTAATGTATAATAAAAAGTGAAAATAAAAAGTAGTTAGTGAAATGAATAGCATCTGCTACAAATCCAAATTTTAATTTTGTTTTATTTATTTTTTTTTATAGTCATGGAATCAGCAATATACTTCATTTATTGCATTCTTTTACTACATATTATGGTATAATATGTTCAAAATT